GGGGGAGGTCCTAAGATGGCGGAGTGAGAGGTGTTGATTTTGCAGTCTGTCGCTTGTAGTTACTGTTTAGCCTTGATTTATCATTCATTTTGGTGCTTTAGCCCCGTTGTCAATTTTTTTTTAGGTTTTTTATTTCCTTCTAACAATTTTTTGTGACTTTTTTAGGTTTTTTTTGTTGTTCTTTTGTCGTCTCGGTGCTAAGGTTCGGAAACTAGCATGTCTGAACACGATTACAATCGGTCCGCTTTTCTAGAGGCTTGTGATGAAGACATTATTGAAGAAATTGAGATGGTCGGGGCCACTTCTGAGCCTTCTTGTAAAGAACAGAAAGTGAACTGGGATCACACGCCTATTAAGAACAAAAACAAGAAGAAGATGAAGCTGCGTGAGCCTGAATGTAAGGATGACACAGCTAACGCCATTCTTCGTGTGTTAGGAGAACTTAGCAGTAAGATCGACAACCAGACTGAAATTCTGAAAAGCATCGATAAACGTGTTGAAGCTAACACTATTGCCATTGATGCAAACAAGATGGCCATATAAGAACTACAAGTTACAGTTGACCGCCTCAAAAAAGAAAACACAGCGTTGAGGATTTCCTGTGATGACTATGCTCGGTACAAGAGGCGCTGGAACCTAAGAGTGACCGGACTGCCCGAGAAAGACGATGAAAACCTTCGGGAATCCATCAACGGGATCCTTACTAGGATCATTCCTGTCTCCGTGGAGCGGCTGCGTGACACAGTTGACACCGTTCACCGATTGGGAAAAAAAGCTGGTTCCTTGTCGGATAACAACCGTCCTAGAGCCGTCATCATTCAGTTCGGAATGCGAACCATGCGGGATGAGGTCTGGAAGAAATCCAAAGATGCTAAAGTCTGCAAAGAAAAGCACATCAGCTTCAAGGAGGACTTCTCTAAGGAGGACAGACTAGCCCGGGCAAAGCTGTGGCCCCTGGTTCAGGAAGCCAGGAGCAGAGGCAAACGCGCATACCTGAAGGAAGGCTTCGCCCTGATCGATAACCGAAGAGTGGACCCTGACTAATTGCGCCGCCTTTTTCTTTAACTTCCTCTGGTTTTGGTAGGTTCATTCTGTATTTGTTTCAAGGGCTATCACACTATTTTCATACAGCTGTTACTGGCTTTGTTATCTCATTCCTGCTAATCGTTCCTTAGTTTAGTTCTTGTACAATTACTGTGTTTCTTTCATGTTGTCACTACTTTCTCTTAATACTAGGGGTTTAAAAAACAGTGTTAAACGTAAGGCTATTTTTCTTTACTGTAAGGAGCAAAAGGCAAATTGTTTTTTTCTGCAGGAAACTCATTCATCAAGTGAAGAGGCGAAATTTTGGAAACTTCAATGGGGTGACAAAATTTATTTCACATTCAGCCGGGGTTATGATTCTGTTTCATAAATTCTCTGGGTCTGTTTTGGACCATGTCAGTGATACAAATGGCCACTGGGTAACTACAATAGTGGAAATTAATGGAAATAAGATCATTTTGGTGTGTCTATATGGATACAATAATAAGGCGATGAATTGTAAATTTTTTGATGAACTCGGAGTGATGATAAAACATTGGAAGTTAAAATATTCCACTGATCAGGTTATATTAGCAGGCGACTTCAATGTGGCTCCAGATGGATCGATTGATCGTCTTCCCTCAGGGGGGCAGCATCATATCTTCAATGATATTTTTGTAAACTTAATTTCTAATACAAATTTGACAGACTGCTGGAGAATTAGAAATCCCACTACTAGACAATACTCCTGGTTCAACCCTTCTGGAAATGGTCAATGTTCTAGGCTAGATTATTGGTTAATCCCTCATAATATGGTTAACAATATTTCAAACTGTGAAATATCAGCGGCTCCTTTAACAGATCATTGTTCGGTTACCTTATTTCTCTCTGTAAATAAATCTAAACCACCCTCAATCTTAGCTTGGAAGTTTAATAGTAATCTACTGAACAATAAAACTTTTTGTTCAGAAATCCTGAACCTCATTAAGGATATTTCAGTAATGAATATGTCTCCCTTAAATAAGTGGGAGTGGTTTAAATTTAACGTTAGGTTGGCAGCAATAAAGACGGGTAAACTTGTTTCTAAGCTGATGAGACAGAAACAATCCCAACTTATTGGCAATATTAATTCTCCTTGTTCCAAATCTGTTTTATCTTCTGAAGAGCTGAGTGAGCTTGACGTGGTCAAATCCCAATTAGATGATCTTTTTCTAGATAAAGCAAAAGGGGCTTTCATTCGCTCCAGGGCTCGGTGGATTGAGGATGGTGAGAAAAATTCTTCATATTTTTTCAATCTTGAGAAACAAAGACAATCCAAAAAGATGGTTGGAAAGCTATTTATTAATGGCAGCATCACTGAAGACCCTGATTTAATAAATTTAACAATTAAAATTTTTTATAGTAATCTTTATTGCTCTAAATATTCTGAATCAAATTGCCAGTCTTTTTTTGATGAATTTCAGGAATGTGTTGAAAAAATTGATAGTGATTTTAAAAACCTCATGGATGATGACTTAAATATTGAAGAGCTTGACGTAGCAATGCAACAAATGGCAAAGGGTAAATCTCCAGGTCTTGATGGGTTAACCATTGAATTGTATACCTTCTTTTTGGAAAGATTTACGTAAACTTTTATTTGAAACCTTATTGGAATGTATTTCAAACGATAATCTCTCTCCCACCGTGAAAAGAGGTTTGATTTCTCTAATCACCAAAGCCAATAAAGATCCTTTATTACTTGATAATTGGAGACCCATCACCCTTTTATGTACCGACTACAAAATTTTAGCTCTTGTTTTTGCCAATCGCTTAAATAGTGGATTAGGATCGTTTATTAATGAATGCCAGTCAGCGTTTATAAAAGGTAGATATATCCATCATCATACTAGACTGATTTTTGATATGATTGATTATCGTAATGTCATTGATAAAGACAGTTTGATTCTATTCCTGGATTTCTTTAAAGCTTTTGACTCACTGGAACACGGCTTCATCTTGAAAACATTGAAATTTTTTGGCTTTGGAGAGAAATTTTGTAATATAATCAGATTATTTTATACTGATATAAGTAGCTCCGTTTCCCTGGGAACAAGTATGACCTCAAGTTTCACTATGTCTAGAGGTATCAGGCAGGGCTGCCCAATTTCACCTAAATTGTTTATATTAACATCTCAAATGCTTACCCTTCTAATTATGAAAAATTTAAATTTGTATGGTATTAAATTTCTTGATAAGGAGTTCAAAATAAGTCAATTTGCTGACGACACAACAATCTTTCTAAGGGATAAAACTATGGTAAACATCGCGCTAAATTCCATTTCTAAGTTTTCCGGAGCGTCTGGTTTGTCTCTCAATATTAAGTGTGAACTTCTGCCGATCCATTCCTGCTCTGATGCGTCTGTTGCCTCCATCACTGTTAAGTCTGAGGTTCAATATCTGGGCTTATTGATCTCTAATAATAATAATAATAATAGAAGAGAAGAGGAAAACATTGATAGTTTCTTGGCTAGTATGAAGATATCCCTGAGCCGCTGGTTAACTAGAGATCTAACTATTTTTGGATGAACTCTTTTAGCCAAAGCAGAGGGTATATCCAGATTAATTTATCCTTGCCATTCTGTTTTTATTTCTAACAAAAATATTAGGAAAACTAACTCTATAATCTTTCAGTTTATCTGGAGGAACAAAACTCATTATTTACGACGATCTCATCTTATTAAAGATTATGACAAGGGTGGTATTAGAGCCTTAGAGTTTGAGACTCTGATTGGTTCATTTAGAATAAATTGGTTAAAGGCTTATCTGTCCCATTCCAACTCAATGTGGTTTCATATTCCTAAATCTATATTCAAAAGCCTCGGGGGATTAGATTTCCTGCTAAAGTGTGATTTTGAGTTAACCAAGATTCCTATTTTACTGTCTAATTTTCATAAACAAGTTCTGCATTTCTGGAAAATGGTTTTCACCCACAATTTTACCCCACATGGATCCATTGTGTGGAATAACAGATCAATACTAATAAATAGAAAATCAATTTTTAAAACTGACTGGTATGAAAAAGGTATTTTATTTGTAACTGACTTAATGGGTAGTGATGGTTTGTTGTTAAATCATAGAGATTTTATTATTAAATTTAATTTGAACTGTTCTTGTAATGAATATCTTAAATTATGCAAAGCTATTCCTGTGGGTCTGATCCACCTCATCCAAAACACCTTAAGATATTCAAAGGTCGCTGCATCCTTACCCAAATTGAAAGTTGGTGAATATATTGTGACTGATAGAAAGTGCAATAATGCTCTACTTGTGACTGCCTTCAAATCTAAATTTTTTAATGATTACAACAACTATTTCTTGGTGACACCCAATTTGTCTATTATCGAGAAGGCTTTCTCTATGTTTGTTAAATGGCCACTTTCTCCTAAAGTTAAAGAGACTCACTTCAAAATCTCGCATAATATTTACCCAGTGGCAAAATTTTTGCATAAAAGATTTAAATTTGATTTAACATGCTGTGCCTTTTGTGAATGTCCAGAAGAATCACTTAATCACCTATTTTTTTCTTGTCCCTTTTCCTCTAAACTATGGGGTGATATTAAAAGGTGGCTGTCCCTTAAAATTGATAACATTCCTGAGATTAACATCAGCCATGTTTTATACTATGTTGATGGTCTTGATAGTAAAATATCTGATATGGTCAATATTGTTTTTTTGCTTGTTAAATATCATATACACTGCTGTAAATGGAGAGGTTCTACCCCTTGTTTTGTTTTCTTTCTCAACCAATTTAAATTGTATTTCACCTCATTGAAACTTTTGAAGTCTGTTTATGCAAAAAAAGTAACCACAAGTATCTCTGCTCTTCTTTTGTTTTAATTTCTCTTGCCTTTTATTTCTTTTGCCTTAATGTCATTATCTTTATTTTTTAGCCCCACGCCTTGTTTATTCCTTTATGTAACTAGGCTGCAATGTTCTTTGTACCTCTACGAGTCTTTGTATACTGTTTATCATCATTTAATAAAAAAAAAAAAA